CTTTAAGCTTTGTTCTCATGGTGTACAATGACTAAAAACACCAGCAGTATATATATTGTATATTTAAAGTTTAGCAATAAAGCCATTTCTGAAAGCTAGTTCATTATGACAGTAAACGGATCTTTCCTGTTATGTAATTTGAAACTACAAAGAGAAATATCTCAGATAATGTGATTATTTAACTTGTATTTCTAGTAACAACTTCACCAACTCTGTTATTTGTACAGGAAATGTATTCAACACTGATGCCATTAGCACTTATTGTGCTGTAACTATGTACTTAAATTTAAGTAATTCCTGCTGTTAACACTGAGCTTTGCCAAAATTCACCACCACCATGATGTCCCTATTTTATTTCATAGGATTTGTGGTATGAAATATGCAGAAATCATTTTCAGCAACAAACAAATAAGATTTAAATAATTATCTGGGATGATCATTTTATTTTACTTAAAATTAAGCATTTAATTTCAGTATTTAAGTTCTAATGGTTAACTACAATTAACTCCCTTAACCTGCTTCATATCAATATCTATTTACATTTTGAGATCCAATTTCCAAGGTACTGGGAGGAAACCAAGTTGTAGTCTGCTTTAGGCACAAAGCAGCTAGGTGATCTTTATCTCCACCCTAAGGAAGCAATGGCAGATCACTTCTGAAAAACTTTACTAATAAAAGCTACAGGGATTTATCCAGGCAGCCTGAAAGAATTTGACATGATTGAAAGGGGGGGGGGGGGCAATATTTTATATAAGAATATTTCCCCCAATTCCAATTATTCACTGAGAAGTAACAGAATTATATACAAAATGATGTTTACAGATAGCTACATTGATTTTATTTTACAATATGACTGTAGTCCTGTGTTACTTGAAGTCTTATACAATTCACACCTTTACAGACCGACAATATCAGAAAACTATTTCTAATGATATGCAATTAAATTTCCTGTATGCTAGGAAGTTTGGCCTATTGTACTAGATTTGTTAAATCTAAAATGGGAGTGTCATAAATCTATAATATGCTTGGCATAATTCCATCAATTATCTGGTGGGTTTCCTTTTTTGAGCTAATATTTTGTACATTTTAGATGTGTTAAACTGTCAGGATGTACTCATTCGATTTCTATTTAATCTTTAAGGTATGCACATGTGCTGTGAAATTCTTTATAAGCTTAGTACCATTTCCCTCCCCCTTTAACATGTTTCTTCTGTAAGTACAACAATATACTTGTATATATACTTGCATCACAAGCTTCATGTTCTAGTTTGATATATAAAGTGGAAAATAGAAAATAAGTCTATTGACAATAAGGTTAACATAACCTTTATTGTTTTTTTTTCCTGTGGGCATTCTGGCACACATTAAAAATGAAATGTTGCCTGCTATCAAAAGTGTATACATAATATATAGATATGCTATATACATATGTATGTATATACCTATACCCTAACATATCAATACATATAAATATTAACCACTTTCCATCTTGAATAACATAGTGGAAAGGGGAAACTTGAGAGTTCACAAGGTTGATGCTATGTGCGAACAAAACTGGCTGGATATGGATGTTCTGCTTCGGATACCAAAAAGCCTCATCCCAGAAGATATGGAAAGCAGGTCATGAAGAGGATGCGTAGTGTCCCAGACAATCCTGCGGACCTTGCTCAAGCATTGCTTATATCCTGGGTAGGAGTGAACTGCCAATCTTTTCTGCCATCCTCACCACTCAGCACTGCCTTCCTGTCCGAAGCAGTAATTCTTCCAAACCAGACTAATATAACAGGAGGCTCTCGATTGTCCCTCTATAGAAAGTGGTAAGGATGGGGATGGAAGATGTACTTTTCTCATGCAACGCAGAAAATGCAGGCGCTGCTGTGCTCACTTCACCAGTATCTTGCTTATGAGTGACCAAGACCTAGAAACTTGATGCTAACTATCTCCACAGGTGAATCATTTATACAGAGGATTGTGGCTGTGCCTGCCCTTTTTGAAATTGACAATAGAATAACAGAGTTGGAAGGGACCTAGTCCAACCCCCTGCTCAGGCAGGAAACCTTATACCATTTCAGACAAATGGTTGTCCAATCTCTTTAAAAACTTCCAGTGTTGGAGCAACTTGTGGAGGCAAGTTGTTCCATTGATTATGACCTCTTTAGTTTTTTCAACGTTGAAAACAAGCTGTTTTTATTACACCAGTTCACCAAACCCTCTACCTCCTTGTGTTAAGCATCCTCATTCTCATCTTGAATAAGGCTCATTACTTTTGTATCATCAGCATACTTCACAATATGGTTGATGGCAAACCTTGCACAACAGTCATGGGTCAGATTTAGATTTAGAAATCATAAATGTAAATGTTGAAATAAGGTTTCAATTTTTCACGGTGAACTATAAAAATGCAATATATTTATTCTGTGATTCTTTCCACATAAAATTGCCACATTTTGACTGCAAAAAATTAGCAGAAAAATATTCATTTTGTTGTATTTTGTTATTGCCACCTAGCCATTATTTGGATTTTTGCTGTAAAGGTAAGTGTGATTACTCTATAATCACCATAAGGTTGAAAAAGGCTATTTATACCATGAAATCCAAACTATGAAAAAAAAAATAGACAGGAACAGGACTTGAAATTAAGATAAATTAGAAAATTTAATTAGTATGTTTCCTATGCTGTAGTTTCCCTACACCTCCAATTTGTATTAACTTGCTGCATGAAAAAAATAATATTTAAAAATAATGTAGGGAAAGAATACCTGCCAGAGAACATTGCATAATATTGAATAATTGAATCAAATCCTCTCCATCTAATTTTAACTATAGATTGAAGATGGTCAAGAAGAACTACTTGTGGAAGTACATAGTCCAGCATGTCTTGAAGATGAGCACAGTGTAAACTAGAGGAATGGAAATACAACCCTTCAATGTATATAATTGATGTGTATTTGAAAGAAGACGTCTGGCAAAATGTCTGGAGATGCTCAGTCATCCCGATCATGGCTGTTCCAAAGGTGCTTTTTCAAAAGGCAACTGGACTTTGTTTTCCTTGAAGATGTTTTTATTCTCATCCAAGAAGATTCTTCAGTTTTAACTAAATGGTGAAGGATGGAATATAAATCCTTTCATCTTCTACCATTCAGTCAGAACTGAAGAAGCTTTTTGGATGAGAAGCTAAACGTCTTCAAGGAAAATCAAAGTCTTTTGAAAAAAGTATCTTTGAGATGCATGCATGTATTCAAATTAAATATAATTTGAAAAAATAAATAAATTATAATATAAAATGCAAAAAATAAAACCACAATTCTATTTGTATTGTTTTTGGAATATACTTATTTCCAAACATATGGGAACCTATTTTATTCTTTGAAGACAAATGTAACAGAAGACCAATCCTGAGGTGGGGAATGGGAATCAACTAAAATTGATGCAAGCAGTGTAAGATGTTGATGGTATTTTCAGTAATCTTACCATAAAAATAATTGAAACTCACAGTAATATGGTCTTAATGAAGCTCATGGTATTGGGAGTTTTTCCACATGTAATCTTTTTAAAATGCAGGATGCTTACCCACCAGCTTATTTCTCTTTAACTTTAAAAGTTAATGTAAGTTTTGTGTCAGTCTTGACTCCGAGTGACTGTATGGATAAATCCATACAGGATTTTCTGGAAACTTAATACAAAATTTAAACAAATCTGCAACCTCTTTTCCACATTAAGAAAACAGTGTCTAATGCAGGAGTTGAGTTGGATAAATTGGTATTTATATTAAACTTCATTATTAATACAGTTAGTCCTTATGACAGCAATTGGAATCAGATTTGCCACCACTAAGAGATACAGTCATTATCATTATCACGTCTGCATTGTTAAGCAGAAACAATCCAGATAATCCTAGGTATTACAATGCCAGACATGCAGGTCATCAGGTGGAAAGAGGAAGAAATCTCATGTAAAGAATGTAAAAGTATTGCAGGAAATTGGAGGAAGTCCATAGTTGGGGTGGATGGGTGCCATGTAATGTGAACATAGGAAGTCTGGTAAAAAAAAAGTGCCAGGGTGTGTGTGCTATGCAGAGTCTGATGAGAGGAGCATGGAGTGAGTATATGCATGGAAGTACAGGGAGGCAAGAAAAGTGAACCTGGTGTATCTGCATGTGTGCAGCTCCAGGAATGCCAAGGAAAAGGCATGTGGTGTGTTTTTGCAAATGCAGGGGAAAAGGGCACAAAGTGTGTGTATGTTAGTGCAGGGAGACCAGGAAAACAGGGCAAATGCAGGGAGGCATAGTGTCCATGTAAGTGAAGGAGGAAGGAGGGCATGTATATGGAAGTGTGGTAAAGCCAGGAGGCGGGAAGACTTCCCAAGGAACATATGCAATTGCAATCACATGAAGGAACTTTGCAACTGGTCATAAATGAGAGCTGGTTGCTAAGTGCTCAAATTGTGTTCATGTGACGGCAGGGGTGCTACAGTGGCCAGAACTTTGAGTGCCCTTCTTAAGTCTTTTTGTCATAACTTTATATAATCACTGAATGAATGGTCATTAACCTGATGAGTTTTTGTAATGCATCCTGCCATTTTTCAACAGAGATGGAAGGAAATGTCAATTAATGACCTTCAATTTGTCTGAAAAATATTTTATCAAAAAGGAAGTTCTGTTTCAATTATTTGCCATATGATAATGCTATGGATAGAAATGTTGACCATAAACACTACCATTGTTTAAAATTTACTCTAAAAAAAAAAAAAGAATTTGGGACAAACAACTGCTCCAGTACACACAAGAGGAAAATGAAAAGTATAACAAACCATTTAATATAAATCTGCTGGTAGATTAAATTATTCTTTACCACAGCCTATTTTTACTGAACTAGGAAAATGAATGCTGAGTAAAAAGATTATATAAGCAGGGTGTATCTTGGGAATGAATCAAATTAACTGAGTTTTCTGCCAAATCAAATATTTTCCAGTTCTTTGAAATTAAGAATTTTAATGAAGAAAATCATTCAAGTTAAAACAGCATATATTTTATAGTACATATTTTGACACAAAGCATTCTTACTCTGTAAGAAAGGACCCTAATTTTAAATTTATGTGTTTTACTTCCTTCTTCAATGCAGAGTGTACAGTAAGCCTTCTACAAAAAGTGACAAAATATTCTTAACCTGAAGATGCCACAGGAATATGAATTTATATATTTATATATCTATATATTGCTGTTACATTCCAAATGTTCATATTTATGGTTATGCTTACTAAATTAGCATGTATCTTTAAAAAATGCAAAGCAGAGTAATGATTATGAGTTCTAACAAAATTTAAGAATGGCTTTAATCAGTTTCTATCAAGTATATTGTACTATGCCAAACAATTACATTGAAATTTTTATGATGAATAAAGATAAAATCCTTAATATCACAGTTTGAAATCATATGAAAGTACACTGTATTTCTTGTTCTTAATAATGTATAGAATAGAATAGAGCATGGAATACATTTCTGCAACTGTTCAGTTTATCATCCTAGGATTCTTTTAGAGACTCTGCAGCCAATTTGATTTGCTGAAAGGAAATCATAAGACATAAACATTAGAAAAAATATACAAACATCATCTGTTTATAAATAGAAGGAAGAGAATATAGTTGTTTCATCAATATTGCCATAAATTATGCTTTGAAGTCAATGAAAACAAAAGCATCATTCCATATTCTGCTCCAATATGATTCATGATTTTGGTGATTAGACAGGATAAGTATATAAACAGAACAGGCATGAAGTTACCTTGGATAAAGAGGTATATTTATAATTGTACTTGTAAATGCTGTAAAGAAGGAGCGGAGGCCACTTCTTTGTAATTTTTTTTTTTTGCATTTTTAGCTTTTTCTTTGATTTCTTGCTTTTCCTTTTTTAGATTATTTTCACTTTTTTAAAAAAACATTTAATAAAATTTATTTTTTAAAAAAAAGGAAAGTTCACATTTATTGAAAATATGCTCTATTTGATTGTCATTTATATAATATGCCTCAGTGAGAATCTAGTATCTACATTTACTAGTTAGAACAGTTCAGTGGGACACAAATATTAGATTAGATTGTCTGATCTCCTTTGGGAAGTAATATAAATATAATTAGCAGCATTATCAAGTTCATAATTAAGGCTCCCTAATTAAGAGACCATTTTTAGGACATATTGAGATGGCTTGCAAAGGACATGAAATTTAAAACTATTTTTAAATGGTTAATAATTAGTCTTTTGACTAATCAATTAAAATCTATCACTATTATTATCACTAAAAAGGAGCTAATGAAGGATCCCAATTCAGATCAGGATATTGGGATGGCATATGTGAGGAAATAGTTCAACACGTTTACTGCTACAATTAAAATCTGGACCTGTTTCTTCATCCTACTATTTGCACTATTTGAAGAGAAAAGAGTCTCTTCATCCTGTGCTGAATGAAGCAAAAACCTGATTGAAACTATTTGTGAGCTACGTACTCTACTTCTACTGTTGAAAAAACTGAACTGAATCCTTCCTCCTCAATGCAAATTATAGACACTGAAAAAAATGAAATATGAAATAGAATCAGTGTGTTAGTAGTTAAGGTGCTGTATAGGCACCAGGAAAGCTTAGGTTCACATGTGCATTTCCCCAACTGTATTTGGCAGCAACTGGAACTCCTTCTATTAGTAATTGTCAAAAACTAGCACAATTGCCCATTATTTTATGAGATGGCAAAACTCATTAAAACAATGTTCCATAAATCTCTAATGCTTAAAACAAGCAAACAAGTCCACCCATTTTGTCACCTTTCAAAATGGAGCAAAATAGAATATTTTAATAATATTTAATAACCTTGTTACTTGCATTACCTTCCTATCTACTATGGCCTCTACATCTCCCTTCTCAATTGTTTGGCTTTTGATAACCAAAACTTTGCCCATGTCTGGTTTAGTCTTATTATTATTCTTGATCACATTGTGCAGCATTAAAATAATTGAATTTGACATATACATCTTGCCCAACCATGGTATGGCTACTTTCCGCAAATATGCTTAAATAACATATATGTCAAAGTAAAGAAACTTAATTGTTATATAAATCAGTTTTATATCAGTTTTTCATGAACTGTTTTTGCTCAGTTCCATAGCTGTTCATTAATAAACCAACACAAATGAATCCATTTGCAGAATTGTTAAGACACAGCTGAACAGAAGTTGCACTATACAAATTTCTATCTATATGTAGATTTGGATTTGGCATGTGACAACAAATTCCTCACTTAATATAACATTTACTTAAAATCACAAAACTGAAGCTTTAAAAGGGGCTGCCCAGTGCTGCCAAATCTCACAGCTTTATAACACAGTAACTATTAAAAGTAAATGATTTTAGGCAATGTTAAACAATAAAATTTAATAAAAGCCATAAAATATGACTATGGGTCCAAATTTGTAAACAATAATCGGTAACTGTGGATTTCAGCTTCTTTTTTATAATATTTAATTGCTTAAAATTAACTTGGTGCAATTTGAGAAACCACATTGAATGAAATTCTTGAGTCTATTAGACATTAATAAAACAATTTGTAGAACAGGACAATATTATATTATGTAATGATACTGCTTTAACTTGAACAATCTTGAATACTCATTGTAATATTATCAGGTTGTGCAAAGTACAAAAATAAAGGGACTGAGTTACAATGAAGATGGATACATCAAGTTAGGAGAAAATTTTCATGGACAAAATCTATCTTTGTGGTTGCTAAGAGTCAACACCAACTTGATAGTATATAATCAATTAATCAATCAATCACTGAGCAAGGTGGATTATTTTCTAAACCTGTAAGAAATTAGGTTTCTTATTTTTAATAGATAGATTATTATATACATTATCTAAGATATATCTGTTTAAGGCTCCATATTTCCCTTTTAAGACACATCTAATTGGTATGGCTAAGTGGGTAGAATAATGTGGAGCTGGGCTGTTATGTGGAGCTGGGCTGTTATAAAAATAGATTGGCTTAGAAATATTTATATAGATTTATACCAAGTATAAATTGTAAAATCTCTCAAAATATTCTGATGACATGCCCTAGTAATCTTGCAGCTTGATTACTGAAAATATCATCTGCACAGGACTGCCATGACACAGGGAGGCTTCAAATAGTCCAGAATATAGTGGAATAAGTAGTAATGGGCATGCCTTGATATGCCTACGTAACAACTCTGCTTTATGAGTTACACTTAGTTCATGATTTGTTTTGAGTGTGATTCAAGATGCTGGTTATTACTTATAAAGCCCTATGTGGCATAAGGCTTGGTTATTTGAGTCATTGCTTGTCTCCTATATCTGTCTGGCTAACTTGATCCTGCAGGCTTGGCTGCTCCAGGGTTCTTCAATTATAGACATTGACAACGCCCTCTCTTAGGACCCTAGAAGCGTGTCTTCTATATATCAATATACCTCTCTATAACAACATACTACAGCTTTTCCCTCAGATTCACCCTAGTCCAATAGTCACCAACTGATGATCCGTGGACCACTGGTGGTCCGCAAGAAAAATTATTTGCATTATTTATATTGCACTAAATCAGGGGTCCTCAAACTACAGCCCCTGGGCTGGATACATATAATGAACATTTGTGTTGCTGCAGAAAGTCTCCTCATTTGGGGTCTTTTTGTGCGGATCAGAGGGGGACAGAAATTCTGACTTAGGGTCTGCTTCAGCTTCCTGGTACGGGGCTTTGGGTGAAGGCTGGAGTGAAATGTCACTGACGAAGAGACAGTTGTTTCTTGTTCCAGTGGGATTGCATCATGGCCTGGAACTGGCTGACCAACTCAGTCTGCTGAGCCTGCTGAGCTGGTACCTGGCCTTGTACTCCCGCAGGTCTTCCCTCTGCTTGGAAAGCCTATGCTTGTAGTCCTCAGTGAGGTGCTTCTGCTGAGCTTCTTTTTCAGTCAGATCCAATTTGAACTGAGCCAGCTGTTTTGCCAACTTCTTTTTTGTGGCTGCTTAGCTCCAACGGCTGCTTCCTGTTGGGGCCCTAAGGAGCCCAGGCAGGCAGGCAAGAAGTGGCTGGGAGAGGATGGGAGAGTAGAGGCTGGAAAGGCACCCCCCCTCGACATGACATCAAGTTGGCCACGCCCACCCAGTCACATGACCACCTAGCCACACCTATCCAGCCGGTCATTAGGCAGCTCATATTAGTGGTCTGCGGGATTTAAAATTATGAATTTAGTGGTCCCTGAGATCCGAAAGGCTGGTGACCCTAGTCTGTTGTTGTTTAGAAGACTTCTGAAGACTTGGCTCTTTACCCAGGCTTTTGGCCAGGGAGAATGAGATGTCTTACTTCATCTTTTGCCATCTTTAACTTTATTTTTTATTGAGTTTATTATGATCTTTTTATTGTGAGTCACCCAGATTCATTGAGAGCCAGATGGTATACAAATTGATTATAATTTGTCACAGTCAGCAAGATATTTAGACTGGTTTTAGCATTTTTATCTGGCTATCGAATCCTTCTTAAAGACCTGAAATAGGAAGATGTTATTTAACGATGTTATTATTATCACTATTATTAATACTACATGGAGCATGTAGTAATATGGTTGGAAAATGCAAATGTAAACTTTAAAATGCAGTTTTATAGCATACATTTGTAATCTGAAAATATTCACAATTCACAATACATACATATTACTTATAACAGAGTAGCGTAGAACTAATAAAATAGCAATCACTTTAAAATTAAATTTTAAATCAGATAAAGATAAAATTATTAATGTATTAAAATGATAGATAATTCTATAAAATTAATTTTACAATGGATAATTAAAATACTATAGATAACAAAATAGGTAACAATGAAATGATGTAAATAATACTAAAATGTATATTGTATGATGGATGTCAGATCTGTGTATCTGTCATTTCTTCAATGGAAGAAGAAAGGGGGAAGGGAAACTGATAAAGAAATCCTTTTTGATGTAACCTGAATATATTTAATCTTATATCGAATTTGTATAACCTACACATGATACAACGGAGGGACGAAAACCAGATGCCTGGAAATCTATCACTTCTGGAACAGACAGGCAGGGGATGAAGAGACCATAAAAATTCCACGGTGAGATGTGCCCTGAGAACCTCTGAAAAAGATCCTTCTAAAAAGGGGATGGGGGAATTAACATGTTGGCTCTTTGCTTTACTAAATACACATCAAGATAAGGGGAGGGGTTTTAAACTCCCTTATCTATCTCTGCATGCCCGAGAGACCTTAGACCAGGGATGGGCAAACTTTTTGGCTCGGGGGCTGCATTGACTTTTAAAATTTGACAGACGGGCCGGGTCAGCACAAGATTTTTTGGGAATCGCCCCCCCTTCCCCCCCTCTTCTCCTCCTTCCCCTCCCCTCGGAGGCCCCCTGAGTCAGGAGTTGCTACCGCCGGCGCGGCTCCGCGCGGCTCCAGTCCCGCGTTGCCTCGGGAAGGGAAAGGCAAAAAGGAAGAGCCGCGGCGGTGCTTTGCAAC